TTTATTGATTGCGGATATGAAGGTAATAATTAAAATGACGTTGGATAATTAATCAATAAATAATAGTGTAAAATGTCCTTAAAAACATTAAAAAATAAAACCCTACTAGTGGTGTATAAAATTGTGCCTTGAGGCAAATTACTGGAACTTCCCGTACCGTAATGAAATATTCCATTCCAAACATTTTACTTGTATTGACAAGGTGAAGCATTGATCAAATTTTTATGAAGGCAGTTCTAGCGTTTTCGGAGATCTAGTAAAAAAAGTAAAAAAATGCCATTTGGCGGTCAATAATGATCATTAGACATATGCACATCAAATTATCAGATATTTTATTGAGATTTTAACAATAAGTATAAATTTTGTTTACATTCCTATGGGTTCCGTACCAATGTTTATCCATTAGACGGCGGCGCGGCTCTTACGCGCTTCGATATTACGTCTCTATGCAGTTAAAGCAGTACGATTGCTTTGAAAAAAGTTCATAATTTCCAAAATATTTCAAAATAAAGGAAACATTTTTTTAATTTAATTTTTAAAAAGTAAATTTTTGTCAAAAATTCAATTTCCTGCACTCGTTGCTTTTTGAAGTGGAATTATGTTTTCGCCAAAAATACCGATTTGCTAATTTATGTTTTCTCGACGTTACAAGTCATTATGAATCTATTGAGACGAAATAACGAAAAGTTTATGTGTGTGTGCAAGCCAATTTTTTTACATTTTGTCGTTGTCTCCAAAACGGATGGACCTATTTCAAAAATTTAAAAGCCGCTTATCGATTTATTTTGTGTTACGATCGGCCGAGCCATTTCTTAGAAATTAGAAGAAAGTAGTAAATCTTTTCGTCCAGCTTACAATTTTAATCCTTTTTAAAAATTCAAAAACTGTTCAAAAATTATCCTTTCTTAATTGAAATATCAATAAAATAAATTAGTTAAACAAATAGAAAAAGTTTAGTTCCGTTACAAAGTTTTTTCCTTTGCAATTATTGGATGCCAATCTTTCTTTCCACACATTATTTTGTATTTTGATAATGAATTCATTTTATTTGAAATATTTTTTTTTGTTTCGAATTTGTATGTCGAATGATCTTTTTTTTTATGAACAAAATTATGTATATGTTCAAATATTAAGATCACAATAGCATTGCATTCATTTTTTGACACATTTTGAAAACTTAAATCCGAAAATTATGTTTTATTTCGAAGGGGGTGTAACTCAGGGGTAGAGTGTCCGCTTCGCATGCGGGAAGTCCTGGGTTCAAATCCCAGCTCCTCCATACTTTTTTATACGCGTTAAAATATCTTAAAAACTATAGTCACATAAATAAACTGCATATTTCATCCAAATCCGAAAATTTTATTTTTGTTCAAAGGGGGTGTAACTCAGGGGTAGAGTGTCCGCTTCGCATGCGGGAAGTCCTGGGTTCAAATCCCAGCTCCTCCAAAACTTTTTTATACGCGATAAAATATCTTAAAAACTACAGTTATATAAATAAACTGTATATTTCATCCAAATCCGAAAATTATGTTTTATTTCAAAGGGGGTGTAACTCAGCGGTAGAGTGTCCGCTTCGCATGCGGGAAGTCCTGGGTTCAAATCCCAGCTCCTCCGAACTGTTTTATACGCGTTAAAATATCTTAAAAACTATAGTTATATAAATAAACTGTATATTTCATCCAAATCCGAAAATTATATTTTACTTCAAAGGGGGTGTAACTCAGGGGTAGAGTGTCCGCTTCGCATGCGGGAAGTCCTGGGTTCAAATCCCAGCTCCTCCAAAACTTTTTTATACGCGATAAAATATCTTAAAAACTACAGTTATATAAATAAACTGTATATTTCATCTAAATCCGCAAATTATTTGTTATTTCAAAGGGGTGTAACTCAGCGGTAGAGTGTCCGCTTCGCATGCGGGAAGTCCTGGGTTCAAATCCCAGCTCCTCCAAAACATTTTATACGCGTTAAAATATCTCAAAAACTATAGTTATATAAATAAACTGTCCGCTTCGCATGCGGGAAGTCCTGGGTTCAAATCCCAGCTCCTCCAAAACATTTTATACGGGTTAAAATATCTTAAAAACTATAGTTATATAAATAAACTGTATATTTTATCCAAATCCGAAAATTATATTTTATTTCGAAGGAGGTGCAACTCAGCGGTAGAGTGTCAGCTTCGCATGCGGGAAGTCCTGGGTTCAAATCCCAGCTCCTCCAAAACATTTTATACGCGTTAAAATATCTTAAAAACTATAGTTATATAAATAAACTGTAAATTTCATCCAAATCCGAAAATTATATTTTACTTCAAAGGGGGTGTAACTCAGCGGTAGAGTGTCCGCTTCGCATGCGGGAAGTCCTGGGTTCAAATCCCAGCTCCTCCAAAACATTTTATACGCGTTAAAATATCTCAAAAACTATAGTTATATAAATAAACTGTATATTTCATCCAAATCCGAAAATTATATGTTATTTCAAAGGGGGTGTAACTCAGCGGTAGAGTGTCCGCTTCGCATGCGGGAAGTCCTGGGTTCAAATCCCAGCTCCTCCAAAACATTTTATACGCGTTAAAATATCTTAAAAACTATAGTTATATAAATAAACTGTATATTTCATCCAAATCCGGAAATTATATTTTACTTCGAAGGGGGTGTAACTCAGGGGTAGAGTGTCCGCTTCGCATGCGGGAAGTCCTGGGTTCAAATCCCAGCTCCTCCATACTTTTTTATACGCGTTAAAATATCTTAAAAACTATAGTTACATAAATAAACTGCATATTTCATCCAAATCCGAAAATTTTATTTTTGTTCAAAGGGGGTGTAACTCAGGGGTAGAGTGTCCGCTTCGCATGCGGGAAGTCCTGGGTTCAAATCCCAGCTCCTCCAAAACTTTTTTATACGCGATAAAATATCTTAAAAACTACAGTTATATAAATAAACTGTATATTTCATCCAAATCCGAAAATTATATGTTATTCCAAAGGGGGTGCAACTCAGCGGTAGAGTGTCCGCTTCACATGCGGGAAGTCCTGGGTTCAAATCCCAGCTCCTCCAAAACATTTTATACGCGTTAAAATATCTTAAAAACTATAGTTATATAAATAAACTGTATATTTTATCCAAATCCGAAAATTATATTTTATTTCGAAGGGGGTGTAACTCAGCGGTAGAGTGTCCGCTTCGCATGCGGGAAGTCCTGGGTTCAAATCCCAGCTCCTCCAAAACATTTTATACGCGTTAAAATATCTTAAAAACTATAGTTATATAAATAAACTGTATATTTTATAAAATTCAAAATTACCAAGAAAAATCAAATTTAAAAAAAAATATAACAATATTCCCGCGAACCAACATAACTTGGAAAAACACATAAGTTGTTTGTAGAATACATTCGTCGCCCAATTTAATAAGCACTTATAAATTTATAGTATTTATAGTGAATAATCTATTTGAAAATATATAAAACAATTGTAATTAAATATTGAAAAATTTCATTGATTATTGATTATTTTCATTCCTCGAATGGGAAGTTTCGGCGAACTGCCTTAAGGCACGATGACATGCACCACAAGTAATTATATTTTAATAGCAATCAGTTAATAGCAATGGTTGATCCATCCATTTATTTGATTACTTTGTAATTAAAATTTACCTGATAGAGTTAACTTATTACTCAATTTCATGCAGCAATGCAAAAGCACTCGTTGCTTTTTGAAGTGGAATTATGTTTTCGCCAAAAATAATGATTTGCTAATTTATGTTTTCTCGACGTTACAAGTCATTATGAATCTATTGAGACGAAATAACGAAAAGTTTATGTGTGTGTGCAAGCCAATTTTTTTACATTTTGTCGTTGTCTCCAAAACGGATGGACCTATTTCAAAAATTTAAAAGCCGCTTATCGATTTATTTTGTGTTACGATCGGCCGAGCCATTTCTTAGAAATTAGAAGAAAGTAGTAAATCTTTTCGTCCAGCTTACAATTTTAATCCTTTTTAAAAATTCAAAAACTGTTCAAAAATTATCCTTTCTTAATTGAAATATCAATAAAATAAATTAGTTAAACAAATAGAAAAAGTTTAGTTCCGTTACAAAGTTTTTTCCTTTGCAATTATTGGATGCCAATCTTTCTTTCCACACATTATTTTGTATTTTGATAATGAATTCATTTTATTTGAAATATTTTTTTTTGTTTCGAATTTGTATGTCGAATGATCTTTTTTTTTATGAACAAAATTATGTATATGTTCAAATATTAAGATCACAATAGCATTGCATTCATTTTTTGACACATTTTGAAAACTTAAATCCGAAAATTATATTTTGTTTCGAAGGGGGTGTAACTCAGGGGTAGAGTGTCCGCTTCGCATGCGGGAAGTCCTGGGTTCAAATCCCAGCTCCTCCATACTTTTTTATACGCGTTAAAATATCTTAAAAACTATAGTTACATAAATAAACTGCATATTTCATCCAAATCCGAAAATTATGTTTTATTTCAAAGGGGGTGTAACTCAGCGGTAGAGTGTCCGCTTCGCATGCGGGAAGTCCTGGGTTCAAATCCCAGCTCCTCCAAAACATTTTATACGCGTTAAAATATCTTAAAAACTATAGTTATATAAATAAACTGTATATTTCATCCAAATCCGAAAATTATATTTTACTTCAAAGGGGGTGTATCTCAGGGGTAGAGTGTCCGCTTCGCATGCGGGAAGTCCTGGGTTCAAATCCCAGCTCCTCCAAAACATTTTATACGCGTTAAAATATCTCAAAAACTATAGTTATATAAATAAACTGTATATTTCATCCAAATCCGAAAATTATATGTTATTTCAGAGGGGGTGTAACTCAGCGGTAGAGTGTCCGCTTCGCATGCGGGCAGTCCTGGGTTCAAATCCCAGCTCCTCCAAAACATTTTATACGGGTTAAAATATCTTAAAAACTATAGTTATATAAATAAACTGTATATTTTATCCAAATCCGAAAATTATATTTCATTTCGAAGGGGGTGTAACTCAGCGGTAGAGTGTCCGCTTCGCATGCGGAGGGAAGTCCTGGGTTCAAATCCCAGCTCCTCCAAAACATTTTATACGCGTTAAAATATCTTAAAAACTATAGTTATATAAATAAACTGTTTATTTCATCCAAATCCGGAAATTATATTTTACTTCAAAGGGGGTGTAACTCAGGGGTAGAGTGTCCGCTTCGCATGCGGGAAGTCCTGGGTTCAAATCCCAGCTCCTCCATACTTTTTTATACGCGTTAAAATATCTTAAAAACTATAGTTACATAAATAAACTGCATATTTCATCCAAATCCGAAAATTACGGTAGAGTGTCCGCTTCGCATGCGGGCAGTCCTGGGTTCAAATCCCAGCTCCTCCAAAACATTTTATACGGGTTAAAATATCTTAAAAACTATAGTTATATAAATAAACTGTATATTTTATCCAAATCCGAAAATTATATTTCATTTCGAAGGGGGTGTAACTCAGCGGTAGAGTGTCCGCTTCGCATGCGGGAAGTCCTGGGTTCAAATCCCAGCTCCTCCAAAACATTTTATACGCGTTAAAATATCTTAAAAACTATAGTTATATAAATAAACTGTTTATTTCATCCAAATCCGGAAATTATATTTTACTTCAAAGGGGGTGTAACTCAGGGGTAGAGTGTCCGCTTCGCATGCGGGAAGTCCTGGGTTCAAATCCCAGCTCCTCCATACTTTTTTATACGCGTTAAAATATCTTAAAAACTATAGTTACATAAATAAACTGCATATTTCATCCAAATCCGAAAATTATATTTTATTTCAAAGGGGTGTAACTCAGGGGTAGTGTGTCCGGTTCGCATGCGGGAAGTCCTGGGTTCATCTCCCAGCTGTATCTTAATAAATTATCTTAAAAATTATGGTTATATAAATAAACTGTATATTTTGTAATTTGAACGTATAGATATTAATTTCAGAATATCATAAATGATTTTGGGCTTTTTTTAATTTTAATGCAAAAATAAATTTAAGTGGCGCATAGCATTGTCCATTCTTAGAGCAAATTGCTGGAACTTACCGTACCGTAATTAACCATTTAAGAAATAAAAATAATCAATAATCGATAAAAATTATTGAGTAATTATTGTTTCACATATTTTTAAATAGAATATTATAAATACTATAAATTTATAAGTGCTTATTAAAACGGGCATAGAGCGTATTCTATAAACATACAAAAACTAAAAGCCAAGATAGAATGAAGGCATACGAGAACTTTTTAGAATTTTTGAATAAAATCGTTTTTTTTAATTTTTCAATAATTAAATAATTTTTCAATTGAAATTTTAGAATTTTTCGAAATTTTCAAAAAACGAATATTTTCAAAAATTTACAATTTCTCAAAAAGTTTAACAAAATCGATTTTTTCAAAAATTCCAAAAAAATCGAACTTTCAAAAAAATTTCAAAATTTTGAAAGAAATTCAAAATTACCAAGAAAAATCAAATTTAAAAAAAAAATATAACAATATTCCCGCGAACCAACATAACTTGGAAAAACACATAAGTTGTTTGTAGAATACATTCGTCGCCCAATTTAATAAGCACTTATAAATTTATAGTATTTATAGTGAATAATCTATTTGAAAATATATAAAACAATTGTAATTAAATATTGAAAAATTTCATTGATTATTGATTATTTTCATTCCTCGAATGGGAAGTTTCGGCGAACTGCCTTAAGGCACGATGACATGCACCACAAGTAATCATATTTTAATAGCAATCAGTTAATAGCAATGGTTGATCCATCCATTTATTTGATTACTTTGTAATTAAAATTTACCTGATAGAGTTAACTTATTATTCAATTTCATGCAGCAATGCCCGGGAAGGCCTATTTTCACATATTTAAGATCTATATTCCTAAGTGAAAAATGATATCGATTGACAATGAAAAATGAAATGCTATGACTTTACTAATAACAATAACATCAGGGACTGTTTTTACAATAAAATGAAGCTAAGAAACATTTGTTTATATGTGTTATATGCAGTGTAAAAAATGCTATATACATGTAAAAAATTTACCCATAAAATTCATATTTTGCAAAAAATGTAGCTATTATTTCGGAAAATCCTTTTAAAATTGAATATAAGATATAACCCCCTGGTTGTCTCAATTTACCCCCCTTATGGGGTAAAAAGGGTCAGAGAAAAATTTTAGAAAAGTAGTAAACATGTATATTTCTATAATTAGGAATTATATTTGGAAATTCTTTTAAACATAGTTCAATAGTTGCTTGTTTGATGCGTTTTATGTGTTGCGAGGTAGTTTTGGTTTAGCCAGTATAATTACTGATAGCCAAATTGGACCTTCGTGCCCCGCCCTACCCTAAGTCAATTTCATTTTATATTAAATTTTAATATGTGTCAGTTTTGTTTTTAATTAAAATGTATGTATACACTTTTCTATTAAATTATTGAACTTACATAAAATTGTTTTTCTTCAGTATGCTTTGCATGACGACCGCTTAGTATGACGAGTTGTTGCGTCTCTTCGATGTCATACTAAGCGGATTCTACTTTATATATATATATATATATATATATATATATATATACATATACATATTGGTTATTATAATTTCAAGTGCAGAATCGTTATAAAAAACAAATAGCGCCATGCGCTTCCGTCGTCTCGTCAGCGTGTACGGTTCATGTCATTCTCGCATCCGAATACTTGCGTGAGACCACACATAAAATAATTATAATGGAAACAGTTCATAATTATTTATTTACTAATAAAAAAAACTTATCAATATCACATAATACAGTATTATGTTTATTCCTAACATTCGGCTACTGATGAAAAGTTATTGAATTTATATTTATTTTAGTTGAAGTAGAATTATAGGCAACTATAATGAAGACTGTTTATATGCATTTTTTAGTAAAGCGAGAATAGAAAAATAGTTCTTTGTATTAGCTTTATTGAACAATGTATTAACTTCCCGTAGGATATGTTATGAAAATTGGGAAAATGAAGGCTTTTGCATATCTTTACGTTTCAAAGGTTTCTGAACATTTTAAAATAAACTAGTGGGGCGCATGGCATCGTGCCTTAAGGCAAATTGCTGAAACTTCCCGTATCAAATTTTTTTTTAAAAAAGATTAACATTTTTGAGAAAAATTTACTTTGAAAAATTAGATTTTTGAGAAACTATAAATTTTGACAAAAATTTACTTTTTTTGAAAAAGACTTTTTGAAGAAAAGTGTATTTTGAAATATTTTGGAAATTCTAAACTTTTTTTCAACGCAATCGTACTGCTTTAACTGCATAGAGACAAAATATCGTAACGCGTAAGCGCCGCACCGCCGTCTAACGGATAAGCATTGGTACGGAACCCATAGGAATGTAAACAAAATTCATACTTATTGTTAAAATCTCTATAAAATATCTGATAATTTGATGTGCATATGTCTAATGATCATTTTTGACCGACAGATGGCATTTTTTTTTAAATTTTTACTAGATCTCCGAAACCGTAAGACCTGCCTTCATGAAAATTTGATCAGTTCTCCATCTTGTTAATACAAGTAAAATGTTTTTTGAATTTTTCAAAGCGGTGCTCCGTTCTCTTAAAAACTGTGTTACCGTTGTTGGCACTTTTTGCCCCATATCTTCGTAACGACTAGACCTGCCTTCACACACTTTTTTGTGGACGATTCCGGTAACACGGATCAACCGATTTAAATGATCTGATAAAGGATTCGATTTGTATTGTTGCAAAAACGTGCTGATTAGTTTTTGGCAAAGGCAGGTCCAGCCGTTTCGAAGATATAAGAAAAGCCAAAATTGACAAATCAGTTTTTGAGAGAACGGAGCGTCCCATTTTAATGATTGAAAAACCATTTCGCTAGTATTAATAGAATGAAAAAATTATGAAATTTTTGTAAAGGCGGTTTCAGCAGTTTTGGAGATTTAATAAAAGAGTTAAAAAAATAAGCCATTTAGCGGTCAAATACGATCATTAGACATACGCACATCAAATTATCAGATATTTAATATAGATTTTAATTATAAATACACATTTTGTTTCCATTTTCATCTATTCCATACCAAGATTTATAATGTTTAACCGTAAAAATGCAACGCGGCGCTAACTCGCTAAACCGTCTCTACTTCATAAATTTCTAAAAGTTTCAAAATTATCGAAAACGTCGATAAATAAATTCATAACTTTCAAAAGAATTGAAAATATTAGATGAAGCATTTATTTTGAAAATTGTCAAAATTGAAAAAAATCCAAATAGGTATAGGTTATAAGCTTAATCTAATAGCTTTTGAAGTACAGTCAGCTTCTTTTTATATTTCTGACTATTACATACACACCAATTTCAAAAAAATTCCACGTATAATAGCTTAAAAATTAATATAGTCGATATATCATTTACTATTCTCATTTGAGGTCACCCTATGGCTCTTCTACTTGACCCACAGTTTTTTCCTGCCTTTATGCAATATATCCGTACTATTCAATAATTTTAATATAATTATCTTGAAACATGCAATGAACCACATATTTTATTAATAATACAATTCAAAAAAAAAATGTTTTATACGGTGAGTAGATTACAATTAAATTTTTTTTTTTTCTTATTTATATATTTATTTTAGGGTCATCCGATAATATTTAGTAATTAAAAAGATAAAATTATTATTCAATTTATTTTTAGAATTGTTATAAAAATATTACGAGGTAAAACTCATTTCTGATGAAAATTGACAAGAATTGTATAGCTTAAAAATAAATATAGTCGATACATCAATTACTATTCTTATTTGAGATCACGCTATAGTTTTCCTAATTGACCCACAGTTTTTCTGTATTTGTGCAATATATCCGTACTATTCAATAATTTTAATATAATTATCTTGAAACATGCAATGACCCACATATTTTATTATTAGCGCAATTAAAACTAGTGGTGTATGGCATCGTGCCTTAAGGCAAATTGCTGGAACTTCCCGTACCGTAACAAAATGTTCGACGAATATTAAATGTTTTCAAAAAGATTATTATAAATTC